GTAGTTGTTTAAAGTGTATTAGGAGGCAGGTGGGCAGGCAGCCCGGCTTGCATGAGGTCTAGAATCTTAGACCTCTCCACCCCTGACGGGCTCCTGCCACCCCTGTATTAGAGGCAGCAGCTGTGCGGAGTGTTGGGGCTCCTTCGGAGTGGGGCCAGAGCACACTGGCTGCTGGCTCCCCCCTCGGGATCTGTAGAATAGTCAAATAACCAATAAGAATTAATGAGGTTAATCAACTATTCAATGAACTGATATTTAACATCCCTAATGTAGCTGAGTTTAAAACACAACAATTATTTGCTTAAGTTCTCCAACTTTATTTTCCAGGTGTGTCTGCCCAATCTTTTCTTCATTCTTTTACACTGGCAAGTGGTGCTTTTAATCTACAAGTTGCCACTCCAGGGGTAAGTGTGAGAGAATAGTAACTGACAAAAGTACGTACTATGATGGTCTGAAAACAACCAGTATTACATTAATGTATAAACTAGTAATAATAAATTCTTACAAATGAAGGTTCTTGATCTTCTGGCTTTTAAATGCATGCTTAACTTCAATGAGAACACTTGTGCTAAGAAGTAAACCCATGCATAAATTCTGTATATTGGTACGTTGGAAGAGATTCTGTATTGCAGTCCTCACTATCTACTATATATTTGAGAGAGTGAGTTTGTGTGTGTCTGTCTGTCTGTGAGTCTCTCTGCTGGTTTAAGAACTTCTGAACAGTAAGAGCTAGGGCCACCAGATTTGGTACACAGCCCCCTCTTATAACTAAATCAAGTTACGGGTTTAGTGCTGGGAAAATGGGATGCCCCTGGAATGGGATTGCTTCTCATAAAACCATACAGGGGGAAAAAAACAGTCATCAGACAGGTGAAAGGGGCTGGCTGGGGACTGCCGTACCAGCCCCAAGCCTCCACCCCCCCTTCCCAGGCACGGGGTGGAAGGGACTGAAATTCCTCTTCCACGTTTTGAATGGCAGCATTGCTGGCTGTTCCTCTTTGTGCACTTCCCTCTCACTTCCTGATGGTGTGCTGCACCCCTCCCCCCGCTATGTTGGAGTTGCAACAGCCATGGAGTGGCACTTTTCCCCTGGCCTCAAGTTGCTGTGGTGAGAGAGGGCTGGGGTAGTCCTCATTTAGTTGAGGACTGGAGAAACACTGAGTAGATCATCTAGTTTAATAACTATAAAGTCCTTTTGATTTTTACATTACAAAGGATGTTTCCTGAAATACTGTAAGAATGCAAAGATGGCAACCTGATATGTCAGGAGTGATGTGTTACTTGTTTGAATCTGTATATAATGATGTGTCTTGGAAGGGCTATCTTTGCCCAGCCTAGGGGACAGTGGGACATTCCATGGACTGAGCTGAGTCCGTTGTAACGAGCATACACGTATCAGTCTAGCCATAGACTGATCTGATCCAGGGAAGCTAGGACTGTGTCTCATTTATAATAAACCTTGCCTGTTGCCTTTGATCTTTATCTGATTTTGTGGACTTTGAGGGCTTTCTTGGAGTCTGCTGTACTGGCTAGATGCGCGGAGCCAGCACAATATACAACAGGAGCACGTGTACTTGGCTGAATGGTTATCGTTGGACAGAACAAGATACTTGTCAGGACACCGGACTAGTGACTTCTGACAACAATCAGTACTCTGATTTGTGCCTCAAAGATCAGGGATAAACTGGGTCCTGGAAAGTTAAATATCCTCTTCTCAAACTAAAGCCAGGTCTTGGCTAATAATACTTTGCCAGTATATCTGTAATGGTATACTAGCTTTTGCTGGCGTAGCTTATTCTAGTAATTCTGAGCAAAAGAAACTACTAGCAAAAACCTGTCTACACTAGAGGTTTTTGCTGGCATGGTACTCCCCTGACTGACTCATCTGTTCCAACGTAAGTTTGTGGTATAGACCTCATATTAGATATGGCTTCCTGATTTCAGGGTTAAGTCATCTTGGAAGGGGAAATACCTTTTCTGTGGACAAAAAAAACTTTGGGTTCCTGGGTCCCCATTTAAAAAAAAAGAAACTTCACACACTCATAAACAAACTAAAACTGTAGTAATATTAACCACAATTTTTGAACTGTGATTCCACTAGGGGAAGTTAATTGACTTTGTCGATGTGAATGAAAGCAACATGCGTTGGATACAGGACTTCCGTATGAAATCTTATGCAAATCCTGCCAAGCTGGAGTCAATTGATGGTGAGTATCTTTTAGGTTAGCCTTACTTATCTTCACTCTGTATTGTGAAAATAATGATTTTGAGGGTTAAATCTTTAGGAAGAAGGGAGCAGAAAAAGTTATGGAACCTGTGTTTTTGGAGATGATCTGCCAGACTTACAGAATGGACATCACTTTTGTCCTTTCACCCTAATTGCTCAGGCTGTTTCCCTCTACTGTTTCCTGGAGAAGCTGCATCTTTTGTTTCAATAAGACTACTAATCGTAGAGACAAATTATAGGAAGATGTAAAACTATAACATCTCTTTTCTGTTGTTTTTATTAACATGTACTTAGCACTGCTCAGGTAGAGTATGCCTAACAGAGTACCTTCCCCATGTGCTTGCAATAGACAGGTACACAGATGGTGAGCAAGAGAATACTGAACAATTACTGCATGTGTTGCAGCTAGATAAACTTAGTAGGACACACTAGTCAACTAGTTGCCCCCCTCTCTCCTTGCTGCCACTATCAGAAAGAGGCAGGAGTGGGTGGAGGGAGAGGGGGGAAGTGCTTCAAAGCAGCAGTGCCATGTGGAGTCTAGGGCCACACCCAGAGTTCCCTGCGGTGCTGCCGCTTTGAAACACTTTGTGCAGCCTGGGGCCAACTGGGGAGTCCCCCTGCTGACCCTGGACTCCATGTGGTGCTACTACTTTGAAATACCGTGAGGAGCACCGGGCCAGCAGGGGACTGCTTGAGTCCCCTGCTGGCCCCATGCTCCCTACAGCACCTGGGGCTGTTGCCACACTTCAAAGGCAGTCGTGCCCTTATCGATTAATCAAATAGTTGTTTAATCTAAATTTAACATCCCTAGTCTTAAGAAAATTTATTAGGGAAGAGTGGGAGAAGTCTTCTCATATGCTAAATCAAAGGGTTCATGAAAGAAGGTATAAACTTGGAGTGGACAAAGTTGTTAAAAGGATCAGTAAGAAGAGACGTTCAGACACTGGAATGAACGTGAGAGGTTGTAAAGTCAGATTGAGGGAGTAGGCAAGAAGTGAGACGGGGCATTTCAGCTAAGATACGGGTCCTGTTTAGACATGCAATGGGCCTCTACTCCCTTATGTAGACTGAGAAGAAGTTTGAGAGAGATTTTCCAGGATTAAATCAAAGTTGTGCTAAAAAAATCTCATTCTTAAACAGAGGGTTGTTTTTAATTTTGTATCTTAATTTTTTTCTTATTTCATACATATTATATGAGAGCAAGCAGTGAAAATGTTAGACTAATAAAAAGCATGGGCACCATTTATGGCGGGGTCTGGGGAGCAGTAGTCCCTCCTTCCAAGTTTGAACCCCTGCATTTCATACTTGAGGTCTCCTTAAAGCTGCATGCCCTGGTTCCAAAGACAGCTCTTAATTGCAATGGAGTTTGAGCTGCTTGCAGTTTTGCCTTTGGAGGAAGGAGTTTGTTATAAAAAGAGGGAGGCAAGTGATTAAGAATAACAAAAGACTGGTCATTCATGTAATTAAGGGATCATTAGATCATCATGAAAAACATTGCCAGGTACTTAAAAGCTGGAGTGGGAGTGGGGGGGAAAGAAGTAGCAATCAGTGTTGTGCTGCTGGGATTTGAATTTGGAAAAGTACTGTTAAACTTTTAAATGTTCTTGAAAAAGGGATAAATGGCAATATTTGCAGATACTACACAGTTACTCAAAATAGTTAAGTCCAAAGCTGACTGCAAAGAGTTACAAAGGGATCTCACAAAACTGAGTGATTGGTCAACACAAGGGCTGATGGAATTCAGTGTTGAGAAATGCAAAGTAATGCACGTGGAAAAATAAAATCCTAACTATACATACAAAAATGATGGGATCTAAAATAGGTGTTACCACTCGAGAGAGATCTTAGAATCGTTGTGACTAGTTCCCTGAAAACATCTGCTCAATGTACAGTGGCAGTCTAAAAATTAAAAAAGCTAACAGATTATTGGGAATTGTTAGGAGAGAAATAGATAAGACAGAAAAATATCATATTGCCTCAGTATGAAGTAATTGTATGCCCACATCTTGAATACTCTATGAAGAGCTGGTCACTCCATCTAAAAAAAGATATATTGGAATTGGAAAAGGTACAGAGAGGGCAACGGAAATAATTAGGGCTACGGAAGAGCTTCCATATGAGGAATGATTAACAAGATTGGGACCTTTCAGCTTGAAAACGTAATGACTAAAGGATGGGGGGATATGTTAAAGGTCTAGAAAATCATGAATGGTCTGGAAAAACAGAATAAGGAAATTTTATTTACGCCTTCACTAACATAACACAAAAATTAAATTTATAGACAGCAGATTTAAAACAAATTATTTCTTCACAGTCAACCTGTGGAACTCTTTGCCAGGAAATGGTGGAAAGGCCCAAACTGTAACTGGGTTCCCATAAGAACAAAATAAACTTGAGGATAGCTCCATCAATGGCTACTAGCCAGAATGGGCAGGAATAGTGTCCCTATCTTCTGTTTGCCAGAAGCTGGGAATAGGTGATAGGGGATGGATCATTTGATGAATGCCTCTTCTGTTGATGCCTTCTGAAGCACCCACCATTGGCCACTGTGGGAAGACAGGATACTGGGTAGGTGAGCCATTGGTCTGACTCATATGGCCATTCTGATCTTGTATAGAGCCCAAATATATCTATCCCTTGCTGTAACCCACTAGACCTCACTCCCCTTCCAGAGCTGAGAGCGTGCCCAGGATCAATCTCTCTCAGCAATTAGTAAGAAAGTAAGACTATATATTAAAATTTTAAGGCCAACCAGTGTCCCTTAAGTGACTTGCCATAGGATGTCATAACATGTTAATATACAAGCTGAGTGGGTCCAATATTTATTTAATTTTTCTTTCTTTTATATAGGAATTAGATACAGGGCTCCTGTCAGCTAATTGCTAAGTTACCTGCTCCCTTCCTCCCCCCCAAGCCTCCTCCCAGAATTTTCCAGTGCCTTAGTAGCCCTAGAAATAGATGTGTGGTTGGGGGGGGGGGGGGGTGAATGGAATTGGTTACCCCCCATTTGCTGCTTGTCTTGTACTGAACATGCTCAGTAACACTGCTGAAGCCACTGTCCTCATTTACCCCCCTCTCCCCGGTGCTATCACTCTCTTCCTTCCTTGCTCTCTCCCCCCTCCCATCTGAAATGGCACCAGTGATAAAAAGTCAATATTTTGGCAAGGTGCATTTACTCCTGAAGAAGGTGTATGCTAAACTAGGCAGTGATGTATGGAGTCAATTACAGGCAGTCCCCGGGTTACGTACAAGATAGGGACTGTAGGTTTGTTCTTAAGTTGAATCTGTATGTAAGTCGGAACTGGCATCCAGATTCAGCTGCTGCTGAAACTGATCAGTTTCAACAGCGGCTGAATCTGGACGCCAGTTCTGATACTCCTGAAGAAGGTGTATGCTAAACTAGGCAGTGATGTATGGAGTCAATTACAGGCAGTCCCCGGGTTACGTACAAGATAGGGACTGTAGGTTTGTTCTTAAGTTGAATCTGTATGTAAGTCGGAACTGGCATCCAGATTCAGCTGCTGCTGAAACTGATCAGTTTCAACAGCGGCTGAATCTGGACGCCAGTTCTGACTTACATACAGATT